TCTAAATGACTTTAGAAGTCAGTTCTTCCCATAACAGACGCCTAAATAGAATAAAAAATTATTTTTTTTAACTTTTTCGTTTAGTTTTGGCGTCTATTCGGGAGAGTCGACGTATATGAGTATTTAGACGTCAAGCCCCGTCATAGCCGACGTCTAAATAATTGTTTTATTTACGAGTTTTTACGTTAGATATTCGAGAGTCAAACGTCTAAAGGGTGACTTTAAAAGTCTTTTCTGCGTTAGTAATAATAGAAGAGTTTGAGAAAGTATTTGTATAAGAAATGAAATTTGAAGTGAATAACATATGAGGCAAAAAGCAAAATTGAAATGAATGTGTAAGAGAATTAGTCAATTTACTTGGGGAAGAAGAAGAACAGGACAACATATTTAGTGGTTGCTTTTGACTTTGCCCTCTCCGAATAATATATTGTTGGGTCACTTCTACTTTGTTTTTGGCCTTATTCAATTGGGGCAGCACGAGGAATAAGTTGAGAAAGTTTTTCTTACATCTTTCTCTTGAAAATGATAAGTGATGGTACCAAGAAACTTCGCAAAAACGTCAGCAAATGACAATGTATGTCTTCTTTAAACATTTTCTGTTCTTAAATCTCACCATATAGAACAAATCTTAAGTCTTAGCTCAGAACCAATTATCCAAGTTAGTTGAAGAAATTTATTCAAAAGTGGATTACAATTTGGTATTACAGAGACCCAATTCTGAAATATTCTTTTAATTTTTCAAACCTTCTAAGTAAACTGAAATTCTAAAAAAAATTAAAATAATTATATTTTTATAGTGATATTACTTAGAAATTATTTTGTAATAAATTATATGAATTGTTTAATGTAGTTAATCTTGAGTTTTGCTAAAAATATTAAGTTATTTGATAGTAATAATTGAAAATTTAAGATATGATTTAAATTAATTATTTAATTTAATATTATAAATATGTATATTTTTATTATATTAGAAATTATCTTTTTGGTATTGAAATAATTTAGATTGAAATTTAAAATCAATATTTTAAAAACAATATTTATAATTATTAGGAAGTGAATTTGAATCTAATTTATCTTCACAAATAAGTCTTTAATATATTATAATTTTATTTTATTTTTAGTGAACGCAGAATCTTGAACTACACTTCTCAAATATGTTGTGTGAAACTAAATATTATAAATGGTATGACAATTACTCCATTTTGAATAATATGATAAAGAAAAAAAAAGGAAAGATTCTGAAAATGATTTTCTTTTCACTCACTAGAGATATTAAGAATATTTTTTATTACAATAATCCGTTATCTATGATAATACTAAAAACATATAAATTTAAATTAGAAGAAAATAAATCAATAAATAAATTTAAAAATTAATTAACAATAAAAATATATTAATTAATTAATATTTATTATTTTAATAGTTTATATAAAGGTAATAATAACCCAAAAATAAAAGTAAAAAATAAGTTATTCTAGTTATTCTTATTATGATAAGTTAAGAGTTGAGTAAATATTCCACGCAATGCATGCTAGCTAATAATAAATTATTATTTTTTAAAACTTAATATATTCGAATAAATTTCTGTATTTTAACACCACCAAAATTTAAAAAACATACAAGAAATATTCACAAAATAGTAATACTTTTAGTAACGAATTTAACAAATACAAGCAATGAAATAAATTGTTGAAATGACGTGTGTATTAATAAATAAAAAAATATAGTGTGAAACTATATTTTACAAATAACAAATCAAACTTGAACTGGATAACCTAATCAGCCTGACAAATGAAATAATATATGAAGAGAATGTTGAAACTCTGAGTATGTGTTTGATTTTAGGTTAACCGATGTTGAAAAAGACGTTGAACGTCTTAACATAAAAGCAAACACTTGCTTAGTCTTCTGAACTGAGAATACATAGCACATATTCTACAAGCGTGAGGGATAATGGTTGACAGGGAAATACGACACAACAATAGGAGCACCCTTTGACTTTTGTTTGGTCTTTGGTTTCTCCGAAGAAGGAAGATTCATCTGAGATGATAATGATGACGATGAAGAAGAAGATCTTTCACCATAATCAAAAACTTGACCTGACGAAGATGGAATGAAGCAACTGAAGAAGGATGACATGAGAGGCATGTTGGTGAAGGTTGAGTTTGAGCGTGCAAATATGAAATGAAAGTTTATGTTGTGAAGTTGTGAGTGATGAAGAAGATGAAGTAACAACCTATTTATAGAATGCTACGATAAAGACAAAGGAAGATGCATTTGCTTGGAGAGCAAGGACAACATTTGAAAACTATTCGTTGGTAGTTTGGAAAAGTGTTTTGGTCTTTAGAGGCTGCTTTTGAGCCTCAACCAATGGGGGTGTTGCTGCAATTAATGTCATACATTCACTTATAAGTTTGCTCAGTGATGCATTCACCACCAACCAACTCTTTTGGATAACGTTGAATAGTTGCACAGGTGGACGGCTTTTCTTATTACCATTTTTACAATAAAATATAAATATCATTAATTAAAATTACTTTTAGGGATGCAAAAAATCCCAATAGATAATAAAATATTTTACTTACTCGTATAGATATCATACAATCTAAACTAAGAATATTCAATATTTAATTCTTAGTGATTTTTATTCAAATATTTTAAAAACAATATGATCAAAATAAAGCTATTTATAAAAAGTGCAATAATAATTAAAGAATTATTTAGAGTTTAATTTTATGTTTTTTTTATTTAGACTTATGAAATTTAAATTATTTATGAAAATATATTTTTAAATATATTTCTAATGAAACTTATCTTAATTTATTTTTAAAACAAACTATATGTATTTACACTAATATTTTATTGTGCACATTTTTTTAAATTTAATTTTAAGATCAAGTTTTATTTGAGTTTTTAATTTAAAGAATTGTTTAAAATTAACTAGTAAAAATTCCATCATATTATTTTTTGTAAAATAATTTTTTTTTAACTTACACAAACTAATTTTAATTTATAAATAAAATTATTCCAATTTTTTTTCTCATAAAATTTTAATACAAATAAAAAGTTTATGCAGCCAAATTTTCTGATCAATAATTGAGCTAATGTTACTTACATATTGATGCGGTCTCCTCCAAGGAAATTTACACCTTCCTTGGTTAATGCAAGTTAACTATAACATATTAATTTGCATTTGATATTTAATAAATATTGATATAAGAGTCACCTATATAATTTCTCATTGACTGCTTTATTTTATTATTATTAGCTATAGGGTACCACTCAAACATATGAAAAACATGAACACAGAAGAACTATATATCCAGCCAAATTTGTCAAAAATAAAGCTTATATATTCACATTTTCTTCAACTTTGATAATGTCTGTAATCATTAAGAAATAATCTATAATAATAATAATAATAGTTACAATTCCTTCCAAGAATCAGACATCATCCTTACAAGCGTGAGAGAGAAGAGTTAATAGGAAAATAAGACATGACTACTGGTGCTCCCTTTGATTTTGGTTTCTTCTTTTGCTTCTCTGAAGAAGGTGCTTTCGATTCACACCCATGTTTAACATCCGAGACTTTCATGGATGATGATGAAGAGGAAACACAACAATTGAAGAATGATGAGAAAAAAGACATTGTTGCAGTTTCGATTTGCTTGTATGAAGCAAAGATTGGTTTCAGGTTGAATCCAAAGTGAGACATTTAGCTGCTCTATTTATAGCACCCTATGATAAAAAATAATCCTTTAAATTGCTGTGTGGGTCCCACTATACGTGAGGTGCAAGGATTTTGTAGCAACACTTTCCATTTTCATTTCAGCTATTTTCTCATAAACTTCCTACAGTCAAAAAAATGCTGTGGGATAAGAAGTCAAATTTTTATAACTTTTTATTCATACTTCTGAAGTTACGACAAATTCACAACCATGTTATAGAAATCTCTAAAAATTTTGGGATCATTTGGGTTGGAACAAGAACACATCAAGAACTAAAATAATGTTAAATTACAAATATTCATGGATTCATCTACCTTGCCACAATCGTAAAAGTCAAATTTTGGCAGAAAGCTTCAACCTTTTCATAACCCATTTGACATTAGCATTACTTCCATAGCAATCTTAAAAGAACTATCAAAAGGGGTAAGAAGAAAACCTCCCATAACTAGCATAATAGAATTATCATCTCTCAAATCTATTCCAGTCATGACAGTTAACAAAAAAAAATATACAAATGAATGTTATCAACAAGTCTTTTATTAATTATTTGTTTTCTTCTTCAGTTCAATCAGAGCATTTGCTAAATAGCAAGAATAATTTGTAAAGGGTGTACGGTGAAAAGAACAGTTTTATTTGATTTGCTATGTGTTTGTGTTTTGATTATTTATATAACAGAACAGAGGCAAATCAAGGTGCAAAGTGGTCCTCGATCCATTAAAAAGTCAAATGAATAGTAAAAACTACTGGAAACTTTTGTACAACTAAAAGAAAATTAGATAAAGATAGAAATTTAATGAATAAAAAGAGAACAAAAGATAATATTCACCACACCTTAGCTTCTGCAATGTACAAACTTTTTGTAACAACCGATCAATTCATGTTTTTCTTTGCCATTCAACAAAATGAAATAATTGACACGAGATTATATAAATATCTAAAACAACTCTTCTTTTTTTCTAATTACAATGGAACTGTTGTACCACAAATTACAAAAACCAGGTCACTACTAAAGCACATGACCAACTTTATGAATACAACCAAAAGCTCATTCTATAGATGACAATGAGCATAGCTACAAGATCTGTGCAACACAATTATGTTCCTTCTACGTAAAAAAGATAAAGAAAAAAGATTAATCTTAGAGGTAGCAGTTTCTATACTCCATTATAGATCAAGTCACGTCTCTTTCTTTCCAAAAAAGAGTAACCCATTAATGTAATTTTTACACTGAATTACTGATCTGGAAATGAAAGAAGTTGTGACTTTCCTTTGTTAGAGAAGAATGTCTTTGATCATTTGCTCCAAAACTCGAACAATCTGACAGAATTCAAGTCTCTTCTGTGGTTTCAATGCCCAACATTGATTGATCAAATCTCTCAAACTTTGTGGGCAATGTGTGGGAATAACAGGCCTTGAATTCCTATGAACTACTGCAACAGCAACCTGAACTGGATTCATGTCCTCAAATGGCAGTGTTCCACTCACCAACTCCCACAAAATAAGCCCAAAACTATACACATCAACCTTCCTCCCATAGCATTTTCCTTTGATCATCTCTGGTGCCATCCAACGATATGTTCCCCTCAATGAGTCACACTTTGAAGCCACACAAGCAACGCCAAAATCAGCAATTCTGAGGTTACAGTTATTATCTACAAGCACATTCTCAGGTTTAAGGTCTCTGTGAATGATGCCTTGTGCATGCACATATTCCATTCCACGAGCAATATCCAAAGCAAAAAGTATGACCTTCCTGAGAGAGATTGGCTTCGACTCCAACGTGTTCAAATGTGCCCTCAAAGAACCGTTTTGTTGATACTCCGTGAGAATGTAATAAGAATCAGAATCTCTGCATGCTGCTATGAAACTCACCACATTCTGATGGTGCAGACGAGGTAGATGTGCGACTTCTCTCAAAAACTGTGTCTCCAAAAGAGATCTAAGGTTTCCATCTTCCTCACATTCTCCTACCTGGAAAATTTTTATAGCAACTTGTTGCTGCTTGTATATGCCATGGTAAATTTTACTGTGAGCACCGTGAGAAAACCTGTTCCCGATGAAGAGATCAGAAAAATCAACGTTCCATTCTTCTGCAATTCTCGTGGCAGTATCTCTTGTATTGGTGTGGTGAAAGCATTTTGTCAATGGCCATGATGATGATTCCTTGCGGTTCTTGCACTTACCCTGCAACATGATTGATAACTTTCCCATGATAATCTGAGAACAATGGTTCTTGTGATTTTGATGAACCGAATGACTCATTCAAACTTGCATATATATAGTGACTCTCTTTTATCTTTTTATCTTCTCTTCTTTTAATCATAAATTGGATAGGGTTAGTTCCTTGTTATTCGGATCTAATCAAATAATGTTTCTAACTTGCATTGGAGTTGATGATGAACAAGTGTTTCGTTTCCATAGGTAGAAAAAAAAAGGAAACATGTTTATTATGTTATCATCAGATTTATTCTCAGCTTTTAAAGCTACGTTCATTACTAAATTTGCTATCAATTCTTTTAATTATCTTGTCATTTTCCTAAAATAAATACTAAAATTATTTTACAATAAATTTTACTCATCTTCAATCCAATATCTCAAAAATATTATCAATTTTCAATTTACAATATTCTTTACTAAATCAATTATAACTTCCACCTAGAAAATATAGTATTAGAATTGGTAGGTGTATTAAGAATAATGAAACCGATTATTTTATTTTAAAATAATTTTATAATATGTATAGTATGATATTTGGGTCGAGCGGTTAAGATAATTAGCTGATCGGTTAACATCATATATTGAACCGTAATTTGGTCAATAAATTAGTGATTTATATTAAAGTCTCGTGGCAGAATCAATGTGTTAATGGACCGATAAGTAATTAGACTATTAATCTAGCCCATAATAGCAAGATAATCAAATATGAGTAAAAGATATTAGTAAGTTTTTTTATCTGCAACCGAATCTAAAGATAAGTCTGTTTTTATTTTATAGGGTCTGAAATGAGTTTAGGATCCATGGATGAGTTATAAATATGGGTCATCATCTTTACGTGAATTTTCATCAACAAGTATTTTAAAAATATGAATATTTCATAATGAAAATAAAATAATAAAAAATCTGTAAATCTTATATTATTTCATAGCATCTGTAAATCTTATATTGTTTCATAGCATCTGCAAATCTTATATTATTTAGCATTGTTTGAATTTTACGATAAACCACCGCAAAATCTAAATATCTAATTGATAACAAGTATTTTATACAGATATTGAAAATATATATAATATAATGTATAACTATAAGTATCGGTGCAATTCATAATTGTTATAACTGAAACATTTATTTATTATATATGTTATTTAATAGTTATATAACTGCTTTGGAAGCTTTGCCCCGTCATCCAGGTTCCTCCGCTGAGCACTGTGTCATTTTTTCTTCTTGTTCACCATCTCTGCGTCAGCAAGCTCGACCAATGTGAGCACCACACAAACACTCTTCCATTATCATCTTTCAAGGGTGCTCTCAGAACCTCAATTCCCCCATAAAGGTCACAACTCTATTCAAATCACGATCTTTTCTCCACAAGGGAGTTGCCAATTATTGGTGTCATTGACGGATGCACCAGCCTCCGCGTCATCCGTCGCGCCGGTCGGTTCAGCCTCGCCGTCGTCCTCCACCAACATCGGCATCTAACATTCCCCAAATAAAATCAATAACCCTAGGGGTATAACGTGGAAGACACAGTTCCACGCCAACCAAGCCTTTGACATTGCAGGATCCTTTACCAAATAAAGGATGGAAGAGGAATTCTACCTCTCAGCCCTATAATTTTTTCTCAAAAACTATTAACGTTATTATCTTTTAAATGTTCACTGCAGGGACAGTGTTGGATTAATAGAAGAAAAAAGAGGCAACGAGAAAATGAAGAAGGAAGACTGTGGAGAATTCCTTAATTCTGGAAAAGGATATTTTATTCAATATATCTCAGATACATTTATAATGATAAAATTGAAAGCATCCACGTAGCAATAGCAGTTTTCAGAAACCACGTATCAGTAGCAGTTTCTAGAAACGAGACTTGCTCCTAAAGTGTAGCAACTAATAAATTAAAATAAATTGAAATAAATTAAGGCAGTTATAAAAAACAAGTTTTAACACTCCTCCTTGTTTTTTGAACTGCAAATTCCAATCTTCTCTCTTAAGAATTCAAATTTGTTGATTGGAAGTGGCTTTGTAAACATGTCAGCCAATTGATCTTCAGATTTGCAGTAAACTAAGTTTACTTCTCCATTTTGCTGCATCTCCCTCAAAAAATAGAGCTTGATGTTGAAATGTTTAGTTTTTCTGCCTGATTGTCAATATAAACTTCAGTTTTATTCTTCTGCTGAATATGTAAATCACATAAAATCTTCTTCAGCCATAAAACTTGATTTACAGCTGCTGTTGCTGCTATGAATTCAGCCTCTGCAGTGGATTGTGCTACAATCTCTTGCTTCTTTGTACACCATGAGAAAAAACCTGAGCCTAGGCTAAAAC